CAACCAGGTCGGGTCTGGGCAACCGGGTCGGATCAAAACCAGGTCTCTGCTATCCCGGTTTTAGTAAACTAGGGTTGGAATACCATAGCCGCGTAGCCAAACAAGGCTGTTCTTCTTCACAACCACCAACAGACTCCGGCAAGCACACAGCGGCGACACCGCACCGAACCTTCGCAACTTCCAACCAAGAAAAAGGACGAATCTATGTAGCCTCACCTCTGCAAACGATGACGGTGGATGTCAGCGAGCTTTCTGACGATCAACGCGGCAACAACACAAGCGGCCAAGGGGCTTCAGATCTAACGGCGACGAAGGAGGTTGCAGATCTGACGACGACGACTACGGGCTTCAGATCTGACGGTGACGAAGGACGATGATGACTACGAGTGCTGCTCTCAACCTACCGGCAACAAGAACTTCCGGCAAAGACACCAACAGCACACTCGCGATTCCAATCGCGCGTCCAATCTTATACAAGGGCAACACACTTGTCGTTTCCCACACCCATGAATCTATATTGCTCTGATACCATGTTCAGATTCTTGAGAGAGAGAGAGAGAGAGAGAGAGAAATGTATATTCTGTGTGTATTATTCAGCCCTCTCAATGAGGCTTATATAAAGAACAAGGGTTATATTGCTTAATTACACAATATTGCTTAATTACACAATAAGCCTAACTACTATGAGTAATTACATAATGACCCAACATTATGGAGGATATAAACATTCTAACATATATAAACTAAACACATTACAACCACATACTTTTAAACACACTACTACACAAATATACATCAATTAATAATCTATGACATGCCACAGCCCCGAAAAATAAACACATTACTACACATATATACACTACAAATCGGGTTGCCGATCCCGCCCGGCCTAAAAAAGGGGAAAATGCCGAAATGGCCAACAATGCATTTCTAAGAGTCCTGAACTTGAAGAAATGCTCGATCAACTCTTGGAACTCACCTAGCACACCCCACGGTGCCCGGCACGCAAAACAAGGTGAAGAAAATAAATAATCAGAAAAATCGAAAAATCCCCGACCATGAAAAATAGGAAAAATGGGAAATATTACATTGACCCTCCAGCGGTGGTTTCTTTTTGGTAGATGATAATTGCTTCATACTTATTTATAAAACTGATAACAAAGAAACATGTACATGTACTTGAGCATGAATGAAAACCACAAAAGTGTTCAGGCTAAAAATATAGAGATGAGTGATGACCACTTACTAAAATAAGGTAATGGGATCCTCACAGAAATCCTCTTAACCACTACCCAACAAGCAGCTATAAAATTGCTTTTCTTTTACTTTTTGGTAGATAAGATTACTTCATATTTCTTTAGCTAATTGATACCAAAGAAAATGCGCATGTACATAAGCATGAATAAGAACCAGAAAAGGGTTCAAGCTAAAATTGTAGAATAGACCACTTTGAAATGGTCAGATAATGGGATCCATGCTAAATCTCCTTAGCCACTAATTAGCAATTAAGATTAGGAAGTGCCTGAAGCCTATTGGCCCCTTTTTTTGTGTTATTTAAAATTAAAGTTTTAATAAATGGATGCAAAACCTTGATTGGTGGATCATTTTAAAAAATGTCTAATGTACCCCTTTTGTTTAATGAATTATTACTTATCAAAAAAAAAAAAGGGAATGTCTGTTGTACCCTTGGTTGGAAACTTTGGGTCAACAAACCTTTTTATGCATATTTAAAAAGATTTAGGGAATCAAATCATGTGATTATTAGAAACCCTTACCATGTATGCATGAACCCTATTTTGGTGAGTGCGTCAATGTGTCAATTTACCTTTTACCCTTGTGGAATAAGATTATGCAATTACCCTCGGGTGTAGCTTGAAATTCTTCATCACCATGAGTAGGAGATTAACACACACTAACTTTTTGAAATTTCTAATCTAAGCTAGAAATTAAAAAGAAAGTTACAAATTCCAGTTTTGTTCTACAACATTTGTCAGCCTAAGTCACCGAACAAATTCGAACATTGTCTTGTCGAAAGACTCTCGATAATGATGAAATCTGGAAGGCTTGGAACCCAAGGATCATCCTAGACCTAGAAACGGTTCTAGAGTCCGCTCCTCCATCTTATCCCCTTCAGGATGTTTCTTTTCCTTATAATACGTGTTCTCAGTTTTTGACGCAGCGGATCAATGAAAGCAATTAAAATAAATAAGAATAGCAATGCATTTTTTAAACACTTGAATCCACAAGAAGGTGTTGAGAGAAACTCTCGATTTTCTGATATTGATAAAAGTAATAATTGATCCCTAAACTATTACAATAGAGTGTATTTATAGGCCTAAGCAAATCCTAAACTATATAGGAAATTAAATCAATAGAAACTTTCCTAAAACAAAAACAAAGCTATTAGGGAAATTAAAACAATGAAACTTTCCTAAAACAGACACTAAATTATTAGGAAATTAAAACAATGAAAACTTTCCTAAAACAGAAAATAGAAACTAGAAAACACTATTCCTGAGCACTGTTCTTGTCTGCCCATTCATGTACTACATCAGGCTCCCCCCTTCTTTAAAAGAACTTGCCCTCGAGTTGAACACTGGTAGAAGTCATCCTCATGTTTCACTGATGGTTCATCGTATATGAGTATGAACAAAATTTTATACCATTGACGATTTGACCTTGGGACTTCATAAAATTGCTTCTTAATTGTCCAATAGCAAAAGAACACCAACAGTGATAGATTTTCAATTTCCCTTGGCAACTCAAAAGGAAAGGAATTGTGTAAGTGATAATGCCCGCCTTGATCATATGGACACCCTCCAACCTCCATCAAATATTTTTCTGAGTTTTGATATGGTGTGCAGTAATTCGACCAGAGCATTATAGGAACCTCCCCATCGAAGACTTTAGTAAAGTCTTGGGTGTCAATTACTTCTTCATCATTATGCCCTTTATTTATCACTCTCTTAGTGAAATCCATACAAAACGGAGCAGAGTATGCTAGATACCTCAATCTCGCAGTCTTAGGGAACAAAGTCACGGTATTTCTATGAAAATCTGTCGTCATTGGCTTACGAAAATATATTAGACCATCTCTAAACTTATAAGCCTCATGTGATGAAAGATGGAAGCTGTTGGTACACATGATTTTGGGAAAAACCCAGACACTGGAGTTGGAATGGTTGATGGGGCCCATTGCAACAACACCAGGGGCAATAGAAAAATTACTGAAAGAAAATTTCTTTGTTCTGTCACTAACCATTGTAGTGTCTAGATTTGCTACCTCACCGACAAACTCTTTCATGTCGTCTTCAACATTTAATTTGGAAATTTAATTACCCGGTTGATCAACTATTAATCCCTGTTTTTCAATTTCATCATCAATATTTTTGTCACCATCTTCTTTTACTGTGTCAAATTCCTTAACTGCATCGTCTTCAACTATAAGAAGTGGAGCAAAACAAATTTTTTTCTGATCAACCTCCATAACATCACTCGTCACTTGAACAAAATTATTTTGATCTTTCTTGATATCACTCTCTTTTTTTTAAAAAAAAATTCTCTGTAGATATTTTGACAGATGGACTCTCTTTTCCACAATTCAGATATTTTTTAAACATCAGCTCTTCATAATTTGGTGGCAGATATTTAGCCATCAATAGCCGTTTCATCTTGTACCTCGACTGCACAGGCTGTTTTCCTTGCCTCCTGTGGTTAATCTGTGTTTGTTTCCACCAAGCTGAAGCCCATCCTTTAAATTTAAAGGCTACAAGCGGAACTTGCTTGTTCTCGGGTATCTCAAAATACTCGAAAAAGTCTTCAACTTCTTCAAGCCAGTCCAAGACATCTTCAATATCAAGTTGACCATTGAAAGACTGAAGGTCAGTTTTTATCCACAAATCTCGATGATTTGCTTCGACCCTGTGATCTTCATATGCTAGAACAATACCTTCAATCTGATCATTGCTCGAATTTGACCAGACGTTTTGTTGAAACTGGCGCTGATTATTAGCACGCTGAAGATGACCACGTTGATTTCCAGCCCTTTGTCATGGCTAATTCACACCATTAGGTTGGTCCTGATCATGCCTATTACGAATCTGCACACGATTCATGGCTTCAGTTAGACGTTCAACTGCTGTTTGAATCTCTTGTTTGAATTCCTGACGCAATTGTTGACATTCTCCTGCAGTCACCGCACGTTCTCCCTGATTACTGTCCATGGTGAATGGCTGTGATACCAACTTGACGTAGCGAATCAATGAAAGCAATTAAAATAAATAAGAACAGCAACGTATTCTTTAAACACTCGAATCCACGAGAAGAGGTTGAGAGAAACTCTCGATTTTCTGATATTGATAAAAGTAATAATTGATTCCTAATCTTTACAATAGCATGTATTTATTGGCCTAAGCAAATCCTAAACTATATTGGAAATTAAATCAATGGAAACTTTCCTAAAACAAACACAAAGCTATTAAGGAAATTAAAACAATGAAAACTTTCCTAAAACAGAAAATAGAAACTAGAAAACACTATTCCGAGCACTGTTCATACACTGTTCATGTCTGCCCATTCATGTACTACATCAGTTTTCATCCCCAGGATGAAGAATTTTAGCTGGCAAGAATTCCCTAATCTTCAGTATCTAGAGATTAAGGCCTGACTAAGAAGAGGTTTTCATTGTGTGATTTTCAATCTACTTTTAATTGAATCATAATTTTCTTCACCGGGAGAGAAAATGTCATAGCTTGGAGCTGCAGTTGTTACTGTATATTGGTTTTTATTTTTTTATTTTGTTTTTTTTTTTAATGATTCTCAACAAGGTAGGTGGGAAGGAGGTGTTAATTTTCTCTATTTAGAATAATGAGCATGAAAAGTGTCAATTTTTTGTCGATTACTTGGTTTGTTTTGTATTGAAAATGTGCATATTTGTTCTTAGATTTTTTGGGGGAAAGTTCCTTTTTCTGTTTGAAATGGTCATTTTCTGTTTGGCTTAGATGCTCAACAAGGAGAGAGAATATTGGATTTGTGCGCAGCTCCGGGAGGGAAAACAACTGCGATTGCAATCCTTATGGGGGACAAAGGAGAAGTGGTTGCTGTTGATAGGTCTCACAATAAGGTGCAGCTTCTGAACTTGACATGTAACTGTAATATTATTAGTTCCTTTATATAGCTCCCAAATCATAAAATTTTCAAGCACATTAGACTAACCCTAGATTGAGCATTATGGCAAAAAGAAACATGTCTATTGGACATTATAGAGTCTGGACAGGGTTAAATTTAAATTGGATTAAATGCATATAAAATTTGGGCGCGCGTGTTGAGGTGTTTCGGTGTGGGGGTGGGGGGTATGAAACAAAACCTTACCAAAATAGAAGTATAAGGGGATGGAGAGATTTCTCCAATTAGAATTAAACCCCAGGCAATTTAAACATACAACAAGTATACACTTGACAACCTGTTAGGGTGGCCATAAATAGAATTATAAAGTAAAAAATACAATAGAAGAAAAGAATTTACTCAAATTAAAATGAAACCACAAGCAACCAGCGAGAGTTTAGGCATCCATTGAATTTACACTCATCAAGCTGTTTATGATGGTATATAATTGTAAAATATCTTTTGAGGTCATCTTCCCTAAAAAAGGGCCATACTTAATGTTGGACCCATTAATTGAGGGAGCTGGGAGGGGCAGATCGAGTATACTTCTAAAACCATTCTCCTCCTTTTAGCCAAAAACCCTTATTCCAAGTAAGATTAAAGCACCCATGTAAAATATATCTCAATGATGTTTAAAAATTTACAGCTTTCTTAATGGAAGAATGTGCAGGCAGTAAGGGCCTTGTGTATTGTCCATACTATCCTCAATTACACTTGAGCTATCTACTGTCCCTGACAATTTATGACGGCCTAAGGGAAATAGTTTACTTAAGTCAATAGAAAAGCTCCCATCTCTATTTTATTGTTGTTGCCAAAGTTATTTGGTAGTGGTATCACCATGGTTCTCACTACTCCCTTGAATATGCAGAAGCCCCTGCATAATGGGAGCAATTATTGGAAATTAAAAGGGGAAAAAGAAAAACAATGCAAATCGTCTCCATTATTCACTTGCAGGGTGGTGGTACAAAATGCATGAAGATATTAAAAGGCTTTTGGATGTTGAGGGCCAAAATGGAATTGTGTATCAAATTGGTTGCAAAGTGCAATGTTTCTTGTTCTTCTCAAGTATCTGAATGTTTCATTTTGTATGTACCAGAGAGGCATTATAGTGTCGTAGCCATCCCTTTGTCCACCAAAGGCCCAAAATGAAGAGCTAAGAAATGTGGAAATATAGGCCTGTTTTCTGTAGCCAATTTTGCATTCCAAAGGTGAAATATTAAACTGAGAATACAATGTGAAGGAAAAAGTTGTCACAAGATTTGCCACTATTACAAAGACATATGTGAGCACAGATCTATCTATCGTTTTGCCTTTTACTAAAGATTTTTTTGCTCTTCATGCACTTGGCAAACGCCCATGAGAACCGAGCACTCCTTTTCTAAAGGATGTCCTGGTGGCCTGGAAAAGAATATTTATTTATTTATTTAATTTACGCCACCTGTGAGGCGGTCCCAGTGGGTGGAGGAAAGATGATCAAATTAACTTGGGATGGTTTGATGATATGCCTATGCTAGCAAAAGTTTCTTTTTGAAATTAATTTACACTATTAAGATTCCATAGAACTCAACAGTTCACACCCTGAAGTCCTATAAGAACGAAGTAAATATATCTACAATTTTGTGGAAACATTTTTAAAATAAGAAGGTATGGAGTTTTGAATTATTTGGATCCCTTGTGATATTGAAATCTTTGAACCCACCAGGTGGAAGAAGAAGCAAGACCAACATTAATCAATGCAGAAGTAATGTGGGAAAATCATAATGTAGTAGAGCTGTCTCAGCACCAACTGTCCTCCACAAATTTATTTTATGGCAGGAAAAACGTCAATTATAAGTAATCAAGATAAGGCGGTTAATCTGTGATCGAAAACTTCTTCAGGGACTGGATGAGACATCCCATCTCTTTGCCTGGTCTCTTGTACATTCGAGTGGAAACATCTTTGCTATTGATCATCAATGCATTGGCTAAAAGGTTAATAAGAAAACCTCTATGGTGAACATAATCTGGGAAGTTAGAAATTATTTGAGGCTGCATTAACTCATACCCGATGTTTTGTACTGCATTAGCTACATTTAAGTTTTATGGATATTACAGAAAAAATAAACAAGAGGACTGACAATCATGATTTGATAAAAATATTTTGAACCCTAACTTGTATCAGTTTTCTTTTTCATTTCTTTTTTGTTTTTTATTTTGACAAATAAAGGTTATCTATGTTTGATGTATTCATGTAAAGTAAATGCATGGATGATGTGCAAAAATTCTCCTTTTTAGAATGAATGTTCATGGCATTCGTTATTTCACACATACATTCGACGATGTATGATAATCTGAGATAGCAAGTCTAAGATCTCTTTATGCGTTTTCTCTATATCTGCTTGACCCTCTTATATTTTTAAGAATAGTTTTACAAACTTGTTGCTCATGACCAATGGGCCAGTGGTCTAACGGTACCATGCCCTTACTTCCCAAAGGGAGGTCAAGGGTAAGCCTCCTTGGAGGCATGTGTGTGTGAGTACCAACTAAGAAAAAAAAAAAAAAAAAAAAAAAAACTTGTTACTCATGGATTTCCATCTTAAGGTAAATCCATATATGAAAGACTCCAACAAAGATGAAAACTCATTTCCTTCATTCTTTGGTGACTTCTAATATTGAAATCGTAAATTTGCAAAACAAAAGGGTTTAGCTCTTCTTCATGAGGAAAGAAGCCTGTTAAGGCAGATATGTCAAGTAGAAGGCAAATAGCAAGAGCTCTTTGATGTGGATTAAAAGGAAGTTGGGGGTTCACATAAATCCCTCTGCCCTCCTGGAGTTGGATGGAAAGTGATTGTGTTGTTTAATGTTCCAGGCCAGTAAAAGCATTCTTCATTGTCACGGGGATCTCCTCACAAGAACACCCACTGTGATAGAACTCAAGAATGAGTTTATGACGGCATCGAGCTGTTTGGGATAGGCTAATTGTGATAGAACTCAAGAATGAGTTTATGACGGCATCGAGCTGTTTGGGATAGGCTAATTACTGGACTTCACTGGAATAGCATCGGTAAAAAAAAGTGATTCTAGTTTTGACAGCATGCCTTACTGTAAGAGGGGCGTGGGGTTTCTAAGTGAAGGCAAGCACAATTATATATTTAATATTTTTACCTCCTTTTAGCATTGCAGGTCCTATTACTACTAGGATTGTGTCTCTAACCTGGTATTAAGTCAATGTTCTTGAATGTTTAAATCTATGTATTTAAAAAAAAAATTGAAAATTTTTACTTGTTTGAAAACCCAAAAAATGTATTACAGAAATTACACTTTCCTTGGGTTTCATCAGCACTTCTAAAATTTCACATGGCATGATATTTCTGATTCTTTGACATTAAAATGAATGTTGTAGAAACAAAAATCATACTATTCATTTTACTTGGGTCACTTCTTAAAATTAATAATTGTTTGTTTATGCCCCCTTCCATTTTAAAATATATATATATATATATATATTGATGATTTTATTTGTTATTTTAAATCTTAATTTTGTTTTAGGTGCTCAATATTCAGAAATTGGCTGCTGAAATGGGCTTGAATTGTATAACCACGTATAAACTGGACGCTCTTAAAGCTGTGCGGCGAAGAAATGAATTGAATGATATGAACACTTTGTGTTGTAGTGAGGACACTGTGGGGCCAATTTTTCAAAATTCAGACTACATGAGACTTCAAAGGGATAAAATGTCTTCCATTCCTGGAGAAGGGTTGGGCACTGATTTGTCTTGCAAGGAAAATTGTATGCACTCTCTGTTCATATATCTGTGATTCATGAATTCTGTTTATATGTAAAAGAAAGTATTATTGGGTGTGGTAGGTTTTTGAATAGTGTTATCAGCATATGGTCTGTGTGGTGTATGGTGCATGTTAATAGAAAATCTTTTTGGAATTTCCAGTAAATTCGTGAGTTGTTTCTGACTTTCCATTCTCTCACATAAAATGCTGAAAAACTATCAAGATCACTAGTCACTAACTGATGCTAATTGAATTATGTTTGAAACAAAAAAAAAAAAAAATTGATTCCTTGACTGGATTACATAGATTCAGGTTTAGTTCTCTTACGACTGTAGGGACGGGGAAGCTTTTATTTGGCTGATGTGCACCTCTCAGATTTGTTTTGGCACTGATTTGTCTTGCAAGGAAAATTTTAGAGATGGTCTTGTTAATAGCAGCTTGAAAAATGGAAGCACAAGTTGGCATATTCTTTTTCCTTACCTGCATAAGATATTGTCTAAAGTTTTCTGTAAGGTTACGTTGTATCACCGAGGAGCATTCTTTTCCTATGATAAATGATTAGTGTTCTCTACCTTTTGTCTCTCTTGTATAAGCTTGTCTTATCATAATTTTGGGTTTGTTTTTCTACCCTTTGCTTATGCATGTTGTGATATTGTGGCCCGAATTTGGTGCCGGGTCGCGTTGCGACCTACTTATAACCCGGCGACCCGTTGGATGAGCTTTTTGACCCTTTTTGCTCATGGGTCGTGGACCCTAATTAGTCTCTTGTTGCCCCATATATAAGGGCGTTTAGGGTTTGGAGTGGGGTAAGAGAAAGACTCTGAAATTCGTACAGAAATAGAGCGAGGGGCTAAAAACTTGTAATCTCCGATTTGACACATAGTGAAAACTTTCGCCGGATCCCAACCGTGGACGTAGGCTGTTGCCGAACCACGTATAAATCTTTGTGTTCTCTGTGTGGCGTGTTTACTTTTCTGTCGTGATTCTTGATTCAACTTGGGTTCGTTGCGTTTGTCATAACACATACTTTTCCTGTAGTTGCATAGTGTAAAGCTCCATTATGGCTTTCGGTGTAGGGCTTTTAACAACACAATGCATCGTTTAATGAGTGTGGACTTTTGTCTCATGAATATTACTAAAAAAACAACCAAACTGAATAACAACTTCTTTGTATTTTAATTCTTGGTGGTTACCACCAAGTGTTGTAGCCTATTGGTACTTCCCCACCTTGCAAAATAGAAGGTTGGGGGTTCAAGTCCCCGTAGGGGCAAATGGGCGTGTGAGTTTCAAATAGGGGAAAAAAACAAAATTCCTTGGTAGTTGAGAATGAGACTACTCTTGTATTAGTATCTTGTGTAGGGCTTTTCACTAGTTTTTATTTATGCCAAAAGGAAATCCTGACTGACTGAGTTGAATTATCATAGCAACAGGGAGGTAAGAGCTAGTAAGACTCGGCCGAAAAGAAGACTCTCGAAGAAAGCTATTCGATTTTGCGACAACCTTTCCTTTGGTTGTTGAGCAGTATGACTTTACTCATTCTATAATATCATCTCTAAAATAAGGATGAACCGCCGAACCTTATTTATATGAATGAAGAACTTAACTTCAGGTTGAAGAGAAGGAATTAGACAGAGGGAGGAAAAAAAAAGGGGGCATGAAGCGAGTAACTCTTCCGTGATAGAACTTCTCTTCTTGCTGACCCTAATGGTGTGACCTTGGTTTCATCCCTTTTGCAAATCAAGCCATTTCTTTGGTAGGGTAGCGAAGGGACTCTGCCTCATCTATAAAGGAGAGGCTTTATTGTGAGAATAGGGGCGGTAAGCAATTGCAGTAGTAGGTGTTCCCCCAGGGGGCTTAGGGGTCTGGGCTGCTAAGGGGATTGCTTTTGCTAGAGGTAGTGGGGCCAATTTGGTTTAAGCAAACCCAATAGTAGTTTCTATGAGGCTCAGTGGGCGGGAGCAGGCCTCTAAGAGGCAAGGCTTTGGTGTGAGCTAGGTGTGCTCACAAGTCCTACATCGCATGGGTGTGGAAGAGTGAAGTGCTATATATAGGTTCAGTACTCTTCCGTGACACAATGCGTTTTAAAGCCGTGATGACCGTGAACCTACCAGAACTCCGGAGTTATGCGTACTTAACCTGGAGTATTACCAAGATGGGTGACCTCCGGAAAAGTCTCTGGTTTGGGGGAGCCAAAAGTGGGCAATATCGTGTCTAGTGGGGTGAGGACCGTTACAAATGGTACCGGAGTTTGACCCAACCGGAAGTGTGCCGATGAGGATGTCGGACTCCCAAGGGGGTGGAATTGTGAGGCTTGGTGGATGGGAGCAAGCTTATGAGACGCAAGGCATTGGTGCGAGCTACGTGTGCTCACAAGTCCCACATCCCCTGGGTGTGGAAGAGTGAAGTGCTATATGTAGGTTCAACACCCTTGTATGACACAACGCGTTTTAAAGCCGTGATGGCCGTGAACCTACCAAAACTCCAGAGTTAAGCATGCTTACTAACCTGGAGTAGTACTTAGATGGGTGACCTCTTGGGAAGTCTCTGGTCCAGGGGAGCCAAAAGCGGACAATATTGTCTGGTGGGGTGAGGGTTGTTACAGTTTCAAATAATGTAACACCATAGGTGGGACTCATCAGCCTGATAGTGAGGCCCAAGGGTCATTTCTATTTTTCATCCTTCTCCAAGCATACTTACTAAGGTGCTGATTACTGTCAATTTCCTATACTAGGTTTTGTTTTACTTCCTTAGAATATGCATGCCATTAAATTATTTTTGTTTCGGGTATGTTAATCTGGGTTCATCTTGTCTGCATGATGAAGTTTTTCTCTCTACATGTTTGACTCCCATCTCTAATACGAAATCTTTCAGTTAGCAATGAACAAGAAAAGCAAAGAACATATGCTAGCAATGCTGACCTCAGGAAGAATATTCGAAAAATTAGAAATGGACCTGGAAGAAATCATTGCGCAGGTGGTAGGGTTGGGAAATCTGAAGGCTTTTCTCCAAATAGCTTTGACCGAGTTCTTCTTGATGCTCCGTGTTCTGCTCTTGGTCTGAGACCCCGGCTATTTGCTGGAGAGGTAAGACATTTTACCGAAAATTTGTTTACTAAAATACTTTTGTTCCTTTAGCTTTACTGCTTTGTTTTGCCTTGGGTCATATGGCTGTCCTGTCTCCACGATTTGGACTCACCAATCTCCTAATGAAAGCCCAAGTCTTTTGCTGTAGTTGGAACCACATTAGCTTTCACATGCCTTGTGCTATGGATGGATATATTTTTTTTAATGCACAATCTCTTCTCTTGTCACTTTTCATTTCCTCCAAGTTATCAGCAACCAGTCCTAGTATAATAAAAGTAGATGAACTCTTTGTGTTAGATTTGTCAGAGAACATAATTAGATTGAAATTTTTTAATGCGCTTACCAAACTGAGTAAGAATTTCATTATAAAATTTAGCAACAATATGAGGTAACTCAGATCTATCTCTATTAAAAATAACCATGTCATTTGAGAATTATCAACAAATATAACAAAATAAAGAAATCCATTCAAACTGGCTGTTCGAGAAGGACCCCAAATTTCCATATGGACTACATCAAAAGACTCAGTCTGACGACTATGACTACGACTACAACTTGGAAAGGAACTACGGGTGATGTTGCCTAACTGACAAGCTTCACATTCTAAAACAGATCGCAACTTTGCCAAAGCGGAGAGGAGAGACTGTAGCACTCAAAGCAGATGACAAGACATGACGAGGTTCCTCAGGATCCAGATAATACAACTGTCCTTTTCATGCTCCGAACCAATCATTTTCTTTGTCCCGAAAAACACATGAAGTAGGAGAAAAGGTTATGGAACAAATTAATGCTTTAGTTAATTGACTTACATAAAGCAAATTAAAAAGAAAATTAGGGACATATAGAATCGATGTTAAGCACAATGAATTGGTAGGGTGAAGAACACCTTTCCCAAGGACTGGCCTAGAGGAACCATCAGCTAGAACTATGTGATGTTTAATAGATGTAAAAGCAGAAAAGAGAGATAATGTACTAGACATATGCGAGCTAGCTCTGGATTTAATGACCCAGGATTGAGGAGATTGAGCGGCACATGCAAATATGCAATATTACCTGAATTGGCTATGGTTGCAATTGAAGTGGATGGAAGAGTAGTTTTCAATGTTTGAAGGAGCTCGCTAAGTTGAGTAGTGAGTGTCTCACAAGAACCAGAATCAGAAACATGTCCAGAACTCAGAAGTAGTCTGAGGCTGCAGTGGCTATGTAGTACTATCTGCAACCTGATGTGCATGCTCTGGTTTGCCATATTTCACCCAACAATAATGTTCAGTGTGATTTGTATCACCACAATGATCACACTTCCTGTCACCACATCCACTAGAACGGCCACCACCACGGGAACCACCTTGTAAACCACGACCACACGGCTACCACAAGAACCACCACGAGAACTACCACGACCTCCACTGCTAGCCACTAATGTAGAAGATTCTGGAGGAGTACATTGGAGCATCACCCCAAAGATGATCTCAATGGTCGAGAATAAGCATTAGCAGCTGTACGTAACTTCTCGCTAGCAATAATCTGATCTTTGAAGTCACGAAATCTATGAAGAAATCATAAACTCCTTCCAGTGTCGCTTTTTTTGTTCTAAATCAGTAGTAAATGCCCGATGTTGTAGTCAGAGTACTGTAGTATTCCGATAATGGTTTCCCGGACTGCTTAGTAGCAAAACTCTTCTCGTACAACTCATAAATCCGAGAATCATTACTTTGGTGTGAATATGAATCTGCAAGAGAGTCCCAGGTTTTCTTAGAAGAATCACAAAATTCAACTGTACTAGAAATCTCGGGTTCCATACTGCGCCATAGCAATCCCATAACAACACAATCCTCACACACCCAGTCTTCAAGTTCCTTCTTGTGAGAGGGAGGATCTTCAGTTAAGTATTTCAACTTTCTTTTCCCACGCAAAAAAATCTGAACAGCATGAGCCCAACAGAGATAATTAACTCCATTTAATTTTTTCAAGGTAATCGATTTAGGCATATCATCATCCTTGATGAATTGTGGTTTAGCATCAGCCATAGGTAATATTCTAACAGAAGGAAACGGGAGCTGAACAAATTTATAGTTTCAGATCTAACAAGAAGTCAAAAATTGATTGCAGAAGTAACAAACCAATAGATCTGACCCCAAGGGGTTGGCTCAAGTGGGTAAGAACTTGACCCTGGTGCCTCGGGAAGCATCAGGTCTAAGGTTCGACTCCTCTTGGGTGCAAACAATTCCTTGAGGAGGGGGGTGAGAATCAATTAGGAAAAAAAAACTAATAGATCTGGAAATCTCAAGCACCCAAACAAGTTCCAGAAGCAATTAGTTGTCAGATTTAATCCCAAAAAGAACCAATATGAACTGCCAATAGCAAACTGATAAACAACCGAACAGCTTTTTGGCTAAAAAATCATTACAAATCCAATGACTCAGCAAACAATCAACAAACAAACCCCTTTAAGGTCTAGACGAACAATTTAGGAGAGATTTCAACAAGAAAAACCAGCCAAAAGAACCTCAGAATCCGTATCGAAACTGCTTGGGCTGAACTTCCCCAAAAAAAAAAAAAAAAGGGAATCAAATGGCTTCACAACGAAGAACAAATACTGCCAAAATTGCGAGAACACTCGGGCAAGCTTAAACATATGATTATCAGCCTGTGGATGCTAATGTCAGCATGACATCATTCGACATCAGCGTAAGGATGGAGACTGTAGCGACTCCTAATGTCCTGCGGCTTCGATGCCAATATGTTCTGGCTTTGATTTGAGAGGCTCTGATACCAAGTTGAAGTTTGTGTAACTTGTTTTAGGGTTAGATGAGAAGAAGTGAAAAAAAAAGAAAAGAAGAATTGTCGGGGAAATCTGTAGGTCTGTAGGGATTTCTACAGTACCTCCCTCTTATATATTAAAACCAGCAAAGTACAATAATATCCTTGATAACGAAATAATACTACAATAATGTCCTCCAACAAGATCAATTACCAGACATCTCTATATGCTTTAATCTTGAAGTGCCTTTTTTTAATACAATATCTACTAATAAAGTGCATATATGTGATACCTTAAAATATTTCCTGCTGCAGAAGACAGATAGGAACTCTCCATTCCCTTGTAGGCGCCACTTCTTGCTTTTTGAAAGAGCAGATCAATTTCTAGGCCTAGAATGGTGAGGGAAGTAACTTTAGCTTGCACCAATTATGCTGTAAATCTTTAATGAGTGGGAGCCACTTTTTAATAGCTGCAAATTTAAATACATGACTACATAATTTTAATCATGTTAAAGTGAATTTGTCCTTGTTAGAAACATGGGTGAATCAAGTTATTTCGTGGATTGGATTTCACTTGACTGTCTACAGCTTTATTGCGTGTGCTCAGGGTAGAAGTTTTGTATAAATGTATTGACATGCTATCCTACGCCTGAGTAAGGGTAAACTCATGAAGTTTCCCAGTGATATCCTCCATAATCAGAGGATGTTGCGAGACACCAATAAACAATAAAGTTCAATAACTTGAAATGATCTTGGATGTGCATGTTTGAGGACGATGCCGCTTGGTCGGAGCGGGGGGAAGTGCAGGGCCTTTCCATTCTTTTACTGAGCGCTTGCTTTATGTTCATATAATGTATATGGCTCTGGTTGTTTTTCTGGTTAAGAAAGCTTTGGGTGGTTTATTTAACTCAAACAATGAATATAAGGTTTCATATGTCAAGGGATTTTGCCGTCATTCTTATTCTTAGCGCCAGATTCGCTTTCCTCCGCAATCTTTTTCTCTGAGCATAGTAAGGGGCCGAAGCTTCCACAATATAAGGTCATCAAAGCTATTATTGAGAAGATGGTGAAGAAAAACCCCAGCTTTGTCCGATGCCTTCTGTACATGAGGGACTTCTCCTCGGTCTGCCACTGTTCCACACTCCCTCACTTATGGACAGGATGTGGTCTTACCTGTGGAGCAAACACTCCAATCACTAAGGGTCTTGACCGTCTACAAGTTCAGAAGAAGGGAGCTGCTCGAGCGCCTACAAGAAGCACGTCAAAATGTGTTCCTTGGTCCGCGGGGTGCCCCTCTTTTGACTAATAAAGCCACAGAAACCAAATGCACACCAATAATTCTATTTGCGAGAGTGGAAGAAAAAGCGGGGCCTTAACTATTTTCATAGAAATTGGCTTTTTTTAGATGGGCCCCTGGATGTATGCATCAGCTAAAGTTCAGAGGAAATTCAAAATTGCTTTCTCCTGAAATTAGAAATTGGCTTCAACAAGAATTTTGAAACTTTTGGAAATTGATGGAGCATCTATAATAATGTTCACCTACATTATAAAATATTTAGTTTTGTGACTTTACATCTAGTCTCTCTCTCTCTCTCTATATATATATATACATATATATATTTATATATATATGGTTTTCTCAGTTTCATTGAACCTATGATAAATGTCATCACACTGCTATGGTTTGGTCTCTTAGTTATTGTACTTCTTAGCTTGTTTCCTACTCCCCAAAACTGATTAAGGAACACAATATTTTGGTCTTTTCCCTAAGCTTTCTCATTGTCTTTTTATATGTATCTTACTATAGAAGTCATCATACTCCTAGCCTCATTTACTACCTTCTGTTGACCAGTGTAACTTGTTTTTATCTTTCTAGACTTGATACTGTTCTCATTTCTAGTGAACTGCCAAACTCCAAGATCATGATCAAAGAGTAGGATCCTACTTGGTTTTGTTGAGACATTGTACTGCCATGAATTTTGTACATAACCCAATGTAACATGGCAGAGTCAAGCATGTTAAAGTAGAAATAGGGGGATCAACTTGTAGCCATTTTGAGCAACAGATTGATGAGTGGAAACTTTCATATTATTTTCTGTAAGTTGGAATGTATAACATCTAGCACCAGCTTTGAGGGGGAGCGTTGAATAATACGTCATTAGTAAGAGCGTTTTTATAATCTTAATGTTTTATGCAGTTATTCTTATCCTTTTTTGTTTCTTTTCTTGTTTTCCTCTTTCTACTTTGAGAAGAAGCCAAATATAATTTGTTGTTTATTGCAGGAAACAATAGAATCACTAAGGAACCATGCGAAGTATCAGAGGAGAATGTTTGACCAGGCTGTCCATCTAGTTCGTCCTGGTGGAGTTCTTGTGTATTCCACGTAAGCAATTTTTTCTTAGTTTTCAATTGGCATACCACTTGCCATACATTTCATGCAACTTAACAATAGAAAATTGTCCTGATCATTAACTAACCAATCATGATTAATGTAAATAGTCTTGTTATATGTAGTATTTAACAATCCTTCCTGTGTCTTCTGAAGTGTTGAGGAGGAAGCTTAAGGCTTAGAATTAGGTGAGTTCTCTTTTTCCCTGGAGAGAAGTGTCTGTGATTAGAAAGAGTGGAGAGCTTTACGAGTGTCAGGTGTAGCATAATTTACAAGTTCATATTATACAATCCAATTTCCCTTTAAGGGGATGATGGAGAATAAAACATGGCCCGAGAGCTTGAAGTGCATATGAATACGAACTTCTCATCATCGGAAGAATCATCGAAATAAGCCGCATAGGCTGGAGGCTTACGTGAATAAACAGGAATATAACCCATATTCGGTTGGCTGCGAGACACATCATCAACGCGAACTCGAACTGAACCAACTGAACCACGAACCTGGTTGCCACCAATTCCAAAACCAGTTGCTACGAACAGATCTTGAGTATGCATGGTTGCCCAAGGGGCCTTCACTCTGCGACCATTGTCATCAAAGTTAGTGCTACCAAAACGAGCAATCGTCATCCACCCAAGGTAAATCAAGGCTCTGATACCAACTTGACGCAGCAGATTAATGAAAGCAAGCAAAATAATTAGGAATAGCAATGTATTCTTTAAACACTCCAATCCACAAGAAGAGATTGAGAAAAGCTCTCTATTTTCTGATATTAATAAAAGAGATAATTGATTGCCCTAAACTATTATAATAGCATGTATTTATGGGGCCTAAGCAAATCCTAAACTATATAGGAAATTAAATCAATGGAAACTTTCCTAAAGCAAAGACTAAACTAGTTAGGAAATTAAAACAATGAAAACTTTCCTAAAACAGAAAATGAAAACTAGAAAACACTGTTTAGGCACTGTTCACTAACTGTTCATGCACTGTTCATTGTTGTACTACATCAACTATGATTCGAGATATTACAATAATGGAGTACCAACACCGCGTACATGTCTTTTCTCCATGTATCACTCCACGAGCCTGTCTCCTCGATACCAGTGCCACTAGTGTTTTTCCTACTCTACCAAACCCATAAATTATCTCTACCCATCAACTCCCTCATGAGGTTGCATCTCTCCCAATCTCATAAGTCTCAACCCATAATCTAGGTGCCTGTTTATAGAGTTCCAAACCCAATTCCTTGTTGGACAAGGATTACAATTTCTTAGAGCCCATACTTGTTTAACAAGAAACTTCCTAACATAATACAACTCTAAAATAGAAACCTAATTAGAGTAAGAATTTGAGAGACAATTCCAACACTTACAATGGACTTGTTTTTGCCTATATTTATCTTTGATTATTGAAATATTATCATGGTTGAAGAATTCTGTGTCTTCTCAATTATGGGAAAAAAAAAAAAAAAAAAAATTCTTTGTGTCCTTCTTTATCCTCGTCATCCTTGCTCTTCTCAATGCTTCCTTCTATCCAACCTATCCTTTCCACCTGTCTTCTTACCCCTTCCATCTGTCTTCTTATCTCCTTCTTCTAGCCTCTTTTCATCTTCTGTTTTCTCATCCTCTGCTTTCTTTCTGGCCCTATATCAAATTAGTATATCAGATCATTCTGGTCCTATGGCAGTTTAGTATCAGAACAGCCCTACCCATTCTACATTAGGAAACCAGTAAAAGGCGTTAAAAATCAGTTTCTGAAACTATGTAACATTCACAGGATAAAGAAGTTTCATGTTCTTTTTTGCGCCACCTTTCATGGATGCAATTTTTAGGTAGTAAGACAGGAGTATTATGAACATCTCCACATGTGCTGTTTCGACAGCTAGTTCTTCCTCATCCATTGCCGACATTCATGCTTAAGATGCCATAGGACAATCTCTGCGACCTCTCTTGTTCCTTTTTGAGTTCATAGTGATTTCCTAATAATGCTATAATGACTTCACCACATGGTAAGATATTGTCTGCTTTGGGCCCGAGCCCGCACAGTTTTGCTCTCGGGTTTTATCCCAAAAGGCCTCATAACAATTGGAGTGTACCGATCACATATATAACACTTCCCTTTTCCACACCCAAGCGATATGGGATTGTGCACCTGTAGCTTGCCCAGTGTGGTAGCGTAATGACTCCCATCACCACATGATATGACATTGTCTGCTTTGGACCATAACCCGCACGGTCTTTCTCTTGGGTTTTACTCCAAAAGGTCTCGTACCATTTGGAGATAGCATCACCACATATAAGCACTCCACCTTTTCCACACTTAGGCGATGTGGGATTATGCACTTGTACTTGCCTAATGTGGTAGCCTGCCAGTGCCTCTTTTACCCGCCCACATAGGTCGCCACAATTAGCCCCCCTTAGGGGACCAACATCCCCGTTGGCCACACTTCCGATTGGGTCAAGCTCTGATACCATTTGTAATGACCTACCACACCACATGGTATGATATTGTCTGCTTTGGGCCCGAGCCCGCACAGTTTTGATTTTTGATTTTACCCCAAAAGGCCTCATACCATTTGGAGATAACTTCACCACATATAAGCACTTCACCTTTTTCACATATAGGCGATGTGGGATGTTGACTGCATGCTTGTTTCTTACAAAGGTTTCATGAAAAAAATTGATGCACCAATCAGTTGGTCATAAATGTGGTAGTTTGGCTAACACTATTCTCGTGGACTTTCAGATGTCATTACCCCATTATAGGATTCTTTTCCATGTCAGTATTTCTCTGTTATCACAAGCTATGTTCGAAGGCACACTGACACAGGCATCTTGTATGTATGTACTTTGAAGTTTGAACTGCATGTTATTTGCATGTAGTTTAACATACTTGTATAAAACTTTGAGAGAATTTCCATATGCAAGTTATATGCGTGTAGTTCTCACATTCTTGTACTAGCATATGCTCCCTCTTTCCTTCCTATCCATCATCTAGGAACTTACATTTTAGTACTTATTTATTGTTTGTTGTGAGTTTTGGTTTGGATAATTCTGGGAGTGGCGTGATTATCTTGTTATATCAATAATTTTCCTTTTACTGTGAAAAGAAAGTACAATTGCCAATAATGCTTTTAATTTCCAGTTGTACAATAAATCCTGGTGAGAATGAAGCACTGGTTCGATATGCTTTGGATACTTACAAGTTTCTCACATTGGCATCACAGGTTAGATCATAAGCTTACTGAAATTTTACATACGATTTCCATGAATAAACTGTTATTTTGTAACAGTTTTTAGTTTTTACTGATCACTTCTGTACAATTCATCACTCGAAATTTAGTTATGGGAGTTCAGTTGCCAAAGTATTATCCACCATAACATGGGATACCAACATGGAACATAGGGACATTAACAGGTCGGTGTAATGATTTAGTAGATACCTTAAAACGAAGAAAAGTAAACATAACTTGCTTGCAAGAGACTAAATGGAAAGGTTAAAAGGCTAGAGAAATTGGGGAAGGAATAAGGATATAAACTTTTCTACTGGGAGGAAAAGATAAAGGAGACAAGGAGATAGATTAATTACTTTTAAAATTGTTTTAGATGGACATATCTTGAATATTTTAAGTGCATACACTCCTCAAGGAGCATTAGACCACAAGAAAAAGAAACTCTTTTGGGAATTGTTAGATGAATTGATACAATCTTTACCTAATCATGAAAGTTTATTTGTAAGCGTGGCTTTAATGGACATGTAGGTGTTGATAGGAGAGGTTATACACGAATCCATGGGGATGTGGGTTTGGAGAGTGAAATGAGATAGGAGAAACACTATAGAATTTGCAAAAGCATATGACTTAACAATAGCTAAAACTTTCTTCCTTTCTTTAAAAGGAAAGAAGAGCATTTTTAACCTTTAAAAGTGGATTAAGTAAAACAGAAATTGATTATTGTTTGTATAGAAGAAGGGAATGGACCTCATGTATAGTGAATCCTGGGGAGAGCCTCACAAATCAAGATCGCATACTAAGTTTAGACTTATTAAGCAAAGGGTTTAGGTATGAAAAAGCAAAAAAAAATGGCCATAAAACCATTAAAGTGGAAAGAATTAAAAGGTAGGATAACGACCACGTTTAAAGACCAACTATTAAAGGAAAAGCCATGGGATTGGAATGATGATGTAAACAACTTGTGGCTTGAAATGACAAATTATATCAGTTAGGAGTAAGGCAAAAGAAATTTTGGACAAAACTAATGGAGAGTAGTTCATTAAGAAAAAAACATGGTGGTGGAGCGAGGAAATGTGACGTATAATTAAACAAAAGCGAAAAAGCTTTAAAGCATGGAAAAAAATAAAGCAACAAGAAGACAAACTCGTATATTAAACGCAAATGTGAAGCGAAGAAGATAGTAAGCAAAAGCTAAGCAAAACTCACTAAATGTCTTATATTAAAAACTAGGCACAAAAAAGGGCAAAAAACATATCTATAAATTAGCAAAGAATCGAGATAAATCAACTAAGGACCTAAATCAAATTAAATGTATTAAGGACCTAGATAACACAGTTTTAGGCAAAGAAATCAAAATATTAACTAGATGGAAAAATTATTTTCAAAATCTATTAAATGAGGAATATGCTAAAGAAGAAATAGAAGGAAATGAAGTTATCATAGGAATGATAAATAAAATCACTAAGAAGGAAGTGGAGGACACAGCTAAGATGATGAGGAGTAATAAAGTGGTAGGTTAAGAAGATGGGGAGTAATAAAGTGGTAGGCCCGGATAATATACCCATAAAAGTTTGGTGCACACTAAGTCATGTGGGAATTGAGTGGCTAACAAGGTTATTTAACATCCTAAAACAAGGCATGATGCCACATGAGTGGAGGAAAAGTGCAATAGTACCAATTTACAAAAATAAAGGGGATACACAAATTGTGGCAGGTAAAAAAGAATTAAATTAATGAATCACACACTGAAATTATGGAAAAGGGTAATGGAGCAAAGACTAAGAAAGGAATCCTTGGTATCCGGTAATCAATTCGTTTTCATATTAGGAGATCCACAATGGAAGCTAGTTGAAGAATGTAGGAGTAAGCAACAAGACTTTCATATGGTATTTATAGACCTAGAAAAAGCATATGATAGTGTCCCAAGAGATATATTTTGATGGGCCCTACAAAGAAAACAAATCCCCTCACAAATCATAAAAAGTATCCAAGATATATAGATGAACACAATAACTAAAGTCCATAACCACATTTGGGGAAACTAATGAGTTCAGAAAATATAGGATTGCACCAATGATCGGTGCTAAGCCCATAACTATTCGCAACAATTTTGTACTTACCAAAAGAAAAAAAAAAAAAAAAAATACTATTCGCAATAATTTTAAATGAAATAAGAACCGAATTCCAAAACGAGATTCCATGGTGCTTGATATTTGCCAATGATATCGTGCTTTTGGATATCTCTAAAGAGGATTTAGCAATAAAACTAGAAACGTGGAGAAATGCTTTAGAATCAAAAGGATTGAGAACTAATCCAACTAAAGCCGAATATATGGAGTGCAAATTTAGTAAAAATTTGGATATTGATAACATAATGATAACACTTCAAAACCAAAGAATTACTAAAAACTACCACTTTTGGTATTTAAAATGGAGGGGTAGATAGCAATGTGACTTGTAGAATTGGAGCGGGTTGGACAAAATGGAGGCAAGCTAGTGGAGATTTTATGTGATAAAAGAGTAACACGTATGCTAAAAGGAAATTCTATGGAACCGTTATTAGACTATGTTGTAAGGAGCGGGGTGTTGGTCCCTAAAAAAGAAACAAGAACAACGCTTTCGTGTAGCGGAAATGAGAATTTTAAGATGGAAGAGTGGAGTGACAAGGAGAGATAGGATCACTAATGAAAATGTGAAAAGAAAATTAGGGGTGGCTCCCATTGGTGAGAAAATTAGAGAGAGTAGACTTAGATGGTTTGGACACATACATCGGTTACTTAGAGATGCACCGGTCAAATGAGGAAGACTAGTTGTGATAAAAGGGAAGAGATGGAGAGGGTAACCAAAAAATAACATTGGGTGAGGTTATTAAAGATGATCTTAAAAATTAAATATAGCAGGCGAAATGACACGTAATAGAAAGGCTTGGAGAAAGATAATTCATGTGGCCAACCCCATTCTTATGGGATAAAGGCAAGGATGATGATGGTGATGATGATACATGAAATCAAATGTGATATATAACTTCAGAACATAAAATAAGCATGTTTGAAGATGGAAGAATGAAACTCTATCTAAATTATGTGACCAAAGATAAAATCTTGGAGTCTCTATATGTGATGTTGTGGCCCGAATTTGGTTCCAGGTTTGAGTTGCGACCAGTTTTCAACCGTGACCCAAATTTTTTTTGACCCTTTTTTTCTTGTGGTTTGTGGACACCCTATTTAGTACTCTCTTGTAGCCCAATATATAAGGGCATTTAGGGTTTGGAGTGGGATATGGAGAGACTGCAAATTGCGTAAAAGAGAGTGAGAACAAGAGCTAGGGTTTTGGGGGCTAAAACTTGTAATCTTTTGATTATTGCATAGTGAAACTTTTCGTTGGATCTTCACCATGAATGTAGACACGACTTGTGTCGAACCATGCTAAATCTTTGTGTTCTTTGCATGTGGTGTGTTTATTTTCTGTCGTGTTTCTTGATTGTTTATTGGGTTCGCTGCGCTTGTCGTAATGATGGCAGATTCCCTTGTTTCTTTCCCCCCCTCCCCCCTCTCTCTCTCTCTCTCACACACACACACACACACACACACAGAAGGTCTTTGATTTTTTCTTTTTCAAGGATCCTTCCAAGTGTATGTAAATATATAGTAAGACTCGGAGAGACCACTAGTCAGATACTCTTTGCTCATGTATACTTGCATCTAACTCATAAAAATAAAAAATAAAAAATCTTCTCAAACTATATTTTGTAGCTTTCCTGTTCCTTATCACCTTCTAGTCCTAAGCAACTATCTTTATTTGTTAATTTCCTTTTTCCTATTAATTAGGACTTACTTTTATTAATTTTTCTTATTAAACTTAAGCTACTGTGATGAAAATTTGATTTGCTTCTTGGTATAATTATTATTCTAATAGCTTTATGTTACCACCTAGATTACTATGATATATATGTATATATTTATGTATATATCATGGTTTGCCGAATACGATATGATTATTAAATAGGTATACGATATGATTTTTTTACCCTGATTTTATATTACATTTTCAGCATCCAAGAATTGGAGGACCTGGCCTTGTTGGTGGTTGTGAATTTTCTGACGGATATACTGAGTATGTACTTTCTTCCTTTCGTATGCTATTGAATATATTCCCTAAGATGCCATTCTTTTTTTTGTAATTAGAAGTACTATGTTTTTGGTTCCATGGTGAAGCATTAATGTTGCTGCTAAATGATTCTGCTATATTCGTATTATCATGTTATAAATAGTTCCAAATGCATTGTTTTCTTCTGGCTCAGTTTCCTAACTGATAATTATAGTTAAGGAAGATGCCATCCACATTAGAAAGTAATATGAATTGTGCTACCTGCTTGCCTATTTTGAATTGAGTGTAGTAATGTTTTATCTGTGGAAGGTCAGTTTTATTAAGATTCTTATGAACAAAGAGAGAAGTCCCTCAATTGCAAGGGTTGCGTGGAAGGTTTGTTTTTACATGTCGCCTGTCTCAAGTCTTCATTCAATTCCGTTGGGACTTGTGTCTCAAATTCATATTCTAATTAGGTTTCTATTTTAGAGTAGTATTTTATTAAGTAATTTCTTGTTAGACAAGTCTTGGGCTCCAAGGAATTAAGTTTGAAATTCTACCAAGTGTATTGTATGGGATGTTTTGGATGTCTTGGGGGCTTGTCTTCGAAATATACTAAATTAAGTAGGGGTTCAAGAACTTGTAGCAAGGACTTTACCCCTGCTTTTTTTGTCTCTAGGAACTTGTTTCAGTGAGGGTATGCCCTTACTTTTTACCTTGTACCATATTGTTCAATATTTATAAAAAAAAAAATTCTTCATTTAGGAAAAAAAAAGTTTGAAATTCTATAAATAAACACCTATGTTTTGGATCAAGACTTCTGAGATTCAGAGATATGTAGTCTCATAAGGGAGTTAATGGGTAGAGATAGTGTTGGTGCAGCGGAAATGGATGAATACAAAGTTCCAATGATATCAAACAAAACAATCCCAACCAAACACAAGATATAACGTGATTGGGCCAAAACCGGTTTACATCCACGCATGAGAAGAGATTCCACTATAATTTGTAAATATATTACAACAGTTGAGTACATACCTTTTTACCATGTTCCACTCCACGATTCTAGCTCCTCGCTACCAGTGATCCCCTGTGTTTTTCTTACTCTACTAACCCTTTAACTTTCTCTACTCATCAACTCCCTCGTGAGACTACATCGCTCTCAATCTCATAAGTCTTAACCCAAAGCCCAAGTACCTAGTTATACAGTTCCAAACCCAATTCCTTGTTGGACGAGGATTATAATTCCTTGAAGCTCATGACTTAAACAAGTACGTTCCTAACAGAGTACGTCTCTGAAATAGAAACCTAATTAGAATAGAAATTTGAGACAATTTCCATCTTGGCTCAAATTTCATCCAACCAATCGTCGTTTTCCATGGCATTGATCAGGATAATTCATTGCAACTTCATACAAACCAAAACAGTTCAAGGACTTCCATCCATGAACCTTCACTACAACCTAGTCAACCTAATTGTGGGACATTCACCCACAGACCCAGTTCCTCATTTTCCTTCGGATTTCATGCCAAGATGTCCCGATCCTCTTACCACACTGATTGTCCTCCCGATCAATCAAACCTCCAAGGATCCACCTTGACTACTTAAGCTCCACGCCATGAAATCCATCACGATTTTTTAAGCATCATGATCAACCAGGCCAATTGACTCCACCTGCAACCAGTGTTATCAAAGGCCCGAGACACACTAAGGCGCTAGAGGCCCTTTGGAGCCTAAGCTTAAGGCGAGGCGAGGCGCGCGCCTGAGTAATGCAAGGCACACAAGTGAAAAATTAATTGCCATTAAAGAATATTCATTTAAAATATTAAAGGCACAAATGTCGTCAAAGGCGCACCTGGGCACACAACAGACACAATTGTTGTGCCTATAAGAACCTGGAACCTAGGTGCGCACCTTTAACAACACTACCTGCAACTGAAACCCGTTGCAGCACTCGTTGAGACTCCTTATGTTTTCTAGTTCTCCTTCACCTTCGACTCTGATACCAATTTGTTGGGACATCGGAAATACATGAATAGAAAGATCCAATGAAAGCCAACAAAGCAATCACGCACACAAATGAGAAGAGATTCCACTATGATTCGTAAAGATATTACAACATTAGAGTACCAACACCCTTTACATGCCTTTTCACAATGTACCTGATTTTCCTTTTAATTTGATTTCTGTAAGTCAATTGACTAAAGAATTACAATGTTCCGTCACTTTTACCTCGACTTCATGTGTTTTTCATGACCTAAGGATAAAGAAGATGATTGGTTCGGGACATGAGAAGGATGGGTTATATTACTTAGATCTTGGTGAACCTCAGTTTGTCTTGTCATTAGCTTCGAGTGCTACAGTCTCTCCTCTTTAGTAGCATTTTCGTTTAGGTCATCCATCTTTGGCCAAGTTACAGTTAGTTATTCCTGCATTGAGTTATGTGTCTGTTTTAGTGTGTAAAGATTGTTAGTTGGGCAAGCATCATCGTAGTTCCTTCCCAAGTCGTCATTAGCATCGCCAGACCAAGTCCTATGATTTAGTTCACACGGAAATCCAGGGTCATTCTCGAACTGCCAATTTGAATGAGTTTCTATATTTTGTCAATTTTATTGATGATTATTCTCGAATGCCATGGTTATTCTTAATGAAAAAGTGATTTGGGCATGGTTATTCTTACTCATTAAGGTCACATTTATAATGTTTTTCATCAAAAGATACAAAAATACAACTTTGAAGAATTGGTCATCCTTCTACATTAGGCAAGTCTTAAAATGAATCAAAAAGGGTGCAACATCCACTTCTAAGCTCGTGGAGGCATGTCATCTATTACTTCCTTTCCATGACCTGAAAATGTTAAAATAAGGGGTGAGCATGACGACTCAGTAGGAAATGCCTAAAACACACACTTTGGACTCCCATGAGCCACACACCCAAGAAAAGGGATGAAAGTGGAGTGGGGATCATGCTTAGGGGGAAAGCATCAAATGTTGGCAATAAGCAATATCGTAAGGCTATAAAATTGTCAATGCCAATGATAATGAGCCATGCAATGAATGCAATCCCGACTCCAACCCAAACTCACACTGAAAACCGCTAATCAACTGTATCGAGGTGAAATTGACAACTATCCCTGACCTCAAAACCGACAACCATTTGGGGCCTAGTTAGTTCAATTATACACGTCCAAAACCGGCATGTGTTCCCTCTAGGTTGAATTAGCCACCGGATTGCGATTTTCGGCCCTTTCTTTCTTAAAATCTTTTTTCACAAACCTTTTGAAAATCATATTATTTCCTTAACCAAACCAACACAGGCCCCCCCCCCCCCCCCCCCCCCCCCCCCCCCCGCCCCCCCGTGCCAATGCCAATGCCATGAATAAATCATGTTATACCATCAACTCCATAGATATGTACAAGTATGAAACCATCCATTTCAAGTCATGCATTCTTGTTAAAATTAATAAGCACATTCATTGAGGCGTTTTATCATACACATACTAAGCAAGATGGAGAGATACTTACATGGCAACAGTGTCATAGTTAAACACATTTGATAGGCAAGACCTCATATGATTGCACATATAATAACACAATAGTCATACATATGCTTCCAATTACATATATGGTCACATGAAAATACAATTAAGCAAGTAAATAGCAAGAACCACAACTTTGTCAAAAAAGAACACGCGATTTCAATTTCTAAACACAGCTAAATCAAACTCATCAAAATTTTTGAAATTATCATGCTCATCTTGAAATTTAAACCAAGGAAAACTCACTAGGCAAAATTACATGGTTTAGACACCCCTACCTCAATGGAGGACAAAAACCTAGCTTGGCCCAAATTCAACAATCCTAATTGCAAGCAAGATTGGTGTCAAAATGAAGCTCTTGCCAAGTAAATCACTTTTCATTTTAAGGTTGAAGATAGAAGTTTATGGTGTAGAGAGAGAAAGAGAGAGAAAATATATATATAAAGAGAGAGAAGAGTTGGCTGGATGAGAGGGGAAAATGGAATGAGAAGTTGGTTCCAAGATGACTCTATAGTCTTCTTTTCCCATGTGCATCAATAGGTGGCCCCCACCCCTCACCCAAGGTTACTAAAATACCCTCCCTCTCTAAGTTTATCTACATTCCATGCCATAAAATATCCAACCACTCATATACATATAAATAACATGCCAATATAATATTGATAAATGGAAATGAATATTGGGAAGAATTCCCGAGCACGGAAACCGGTCTCGGCCCCACATGGGACCTCCCGGACCCGAAAATCCAAAAATGGTAAAATGGACTAAAATGCGTTTTTAAGAGTTCTAAACTCGAAGAAATGACCCAAAAACTCCTGGGACTCGCATGGCACGCGAAACAAGACTCGAAAATAATAAATATAAAAATAATGAAAAAGCGCCGAAAAATCTAGAACACTACAATCTACCCTCCTTAAAAAGATTCCGTCCCTGAAATTTATCCTCCGCAAGAGAAAAGGCTCCAAGTAATCACCTCCCAAAGGACATGTCAGAAAATTCTAAAGGATACCACTTCACTATCCTCACTACTCGACATACCCAAAGTCAAAGAAACAGTCTCACCTTAAAGTCACTAGCAACCTAATGCCCATCACCCCTTCCAGGTGCTCCTCATATGGCACATCACCTCAAAGACTGCCGGATTCCACATAAGGGTTGGATCCAGCATCCAATGCACTCTACACAACCATTCAAAGTATCCTGAAAACTTGCAAGGATAGTGTCAGCAAGACCACTCGACACATCGACACCAACTCAACTCACCATTCTAAGGGTGCACGCAATCCAAAACACGACTCCCAGCTACCACCTAGTACATTTCAAATGACTCGTCATACTCATCAACTCTCAGTGCAGCTAGAATAGATAAGCCCTCTAATGATTGTTCCTAAGTGGAATCACCACTACTCTCGAACCATCAAGTCTCCAAAATACCCTCGAAGGTCAAATGCTCAAACCATTCAAGCTTATTGGATTCCAAACATCTAAACTGAACACTCTTATCAATGAAGACAAATCACTTCAACCCATAGAAGTACCATCAATTCCAATTGGAACTTACCTCTAAATAAAACTATTAACACCTCGTTTATGTGACACACCACATCCTACTCTCACTGCTACCACTCACACGAAATGATCATTGACCTTAAACCCGACATGATGTTAAGGAAGGATTGATTCAAGAAAAATGGTTGGCCAGGCCATTTCCCATCATCAATCCAATCCCAATAACCATGTCGTTCTGGTCCTCAGGTCTGAACTCCACAAGTAACATTCTCACGCAATCCTCAAGAGAAAATTATAAATTGACAATTGGCTGACCAAATCCATTACTTTCATATATCTCCAGGGTATTTATACCGAATACGCAAACCTATTTAAGGTAAGTCAACTATATAATTAAGTTGACAACTAATACTATATAAAACCTAGATATGTAGATATTTATACGACTGTACACGCTAACTCTCCCCCTCAAGTTGGTGCATAGATATCACATATGCCCAACTTGGATAGTGATGTATGAAACGGACCACTAGTAACACCATGAGTCATCATATAAGCCAGCTGGTCCGCACACTTTTTTTTTTTTTTTTTTTTTTGATAAGTAAAAATATATTAACAAACGTGCTCAAAGGGGAGCGAACCCTTAACAAAGCAAACAAAATACGCAAAATGCGTCATTACAACGATAAGTTGGCAATAAAATCCAAAAAACTATCCACAGATGGGCAGTTTTACCCATTAACCCAAGAATAAAGAGAATGCAAAATATTCGCCTTGATAACCCACACCGACGACTCCTTTCCTTCGAAAGATCTCCTATTCCGCTTGGACCACGACCCCCCATCAAATACAAAGAGGTGCAACCCTCCACGCATTCCTAACCCGACTTTCCACTCGTCTCCCTCTCCAAGCTTCTAACATACCCATCGTGTTAACACTACCCATTCCACCCCAAAAACATTCAAGACCAAACTTCACACATCTGCTGCCACTCTACAATACAGCAAGAGATGATTAACCGACTCGCCCACCTTCTTACTGAGATTGTCCGGAGTAAGAATGCTTCCAAGCACCGCTGTCCACGTAAAAAAAGCCACCTTCAGTGGAGCTAAAGTCCTCCATACAGCCTTCCAAGGAAACCCATTGCTTATCGAATTCGTAAGACTTCAGCTCCACTTTAGAATCCCTTTAGAATCACCTTAAACACCCCTTTAGAATCACCTTAAACACCCCTTTAGAATCTCCCATCCACACCATCTCATCCCTTCCTTCCCCCTCCACCACTTGATTATAAATTAATCCTATTAATTCGGTAAACTCCAACAACTCCCAATCATTAAAATTTCTGTGAAATCTCACATCCCAACTAGCTCTCCCATACTCTAACCTAAAATAATCTGCCACCACTACATGATTCTCCTCAACCATCCTATAAAGTCTAAGAAACCTACAAGCCAACACCACATCCTCACCCGAAACATCCGTCCAAAAACTCACATAACAACCCATCCCTAACTCGAAACCGTATACCTTTCCATGAACCCATACCTGCTGATGAAGTCACACCTCTAGACACCCAACCTCCCTCCTCTTCCCCAAACCGACAAACAATAACACGCCTCCGACCTTTCACACCCAAATCTCCATAATAGGTGCCCCCCACCTCTCACCCAAGGTTACTAAAATACCCTCCCTCTCTAAGTCTGTCTACATTCCATGCCATGAAATATCCAACCACTCATATACATATAAATAACATGCCAATATAATAATGATAAATGGAAATGAAAACCAGGAAGAATTCTCGAGCACGGAAACCTGGTCCCGGACCCGAAAATCCAAAAATGGTAAAATGGACTAAAATACATTTCTAAGAGTTCTTAACTTGAAGAAATGTCCCAAAAAACTCCCGGGACTCGCATGGCACACGAAACAAGACTTGGAAATAATAAATATAAAAATAAAGAAAAAGTGCCGAAAAATCCGGAACACTACACTGTTCCCTTCAACCTTTAATTTGTGTTTTCGTGCAATTATGGATTTTCCAAAGTTCAAGATTTATTGATTACATGATAACATATTTTCAGGATGTGTCGGCATTTCATCTCTACCAAACTAGAATCCCAACTGCTATAATGACCATCCATTTTTAAAATTTGTGCAAATGCAACTTTGTTTTTAGTGAAGCAACCTAAAGAAATCTTCTCTTATGTTTTAACATTTTGGAGTAATTATTAGTTTAAACATTAACAAAGTAGTTGAACAAGATTTCCCATTTCTAATTCGAGGAGGTATATGAAGTTTAGTTTCACGTCATATTCATCCGATCTTGATAGTGCTGATTTGTTCTGATGCTGGATTTCCAGGGAATGGTTAAGACCTGGTGAAGAAGATCTTGTTCAGAGGTTTGATCCATCTTCTGTACTTGATACAATTGGGTTTTTCATAGCCAAATTTAGTGTTGGCCTAAAAGACACTTGACTTCATTTTCAAAAAACATGTTACTTGGATTGGGGATCTGATTATTGTGGCCACAGTGCAAATGCTCTGGGGAAAACAATGTTGAAGATTGTGAAAAATTATATATATTTTCAATCTTTTTGCTTCACGGAATTCTGGGTCGAACATCTTGTAGAGGGGTATATGATTGAGAATTATCACTCCGCCTTCAATTCATTCTTAGAAATTGTGTATGCAAATTATTTAAACAATTTGTGTTATACTATGGTACAACCCTTTACTATTTTTGTTTTGTTTTTTTTTTTTTTTTTTTTCTCTTAACCAAAGTTGAGAGGGGGAAACTGTGCCAAATAAATCACAGGTGGGACATGAATTTCATGCTCATCTTTTTTTTGCCTAAAACGTGAAAGCAAAATGTGGCAAATCGCTTAGTTAAATTGCGTTTCTGGATGGAGATAATAGCTAGACTAGTGTTTCTCCATTAAGAATACTACTGTAAAGTCACTGAATGGTTGAGACTTTCAGCTCCTAATTTAATAAGGAGTGTGTAGGGTGATCATTTTGAATGGATTTGAGCCTTGCATATTGTTTTTTTTTGGTTAAATGCCTTGCATATTGTTCCTATATTTTTAAAAGGGGGCACATGTGATGTTTTTGCACCTTTCATGCTTGAACTATGCCTGTTGAAATACAATTTGCCTGTCATGTCAACCCGAGTTTTCAATTACAAATGTGAAAGTGAATCGCTTATGTCGGCACAAGGTATAAATCTTGACAAGTCTAGTGACCTATTCAGTCCTAATGTGAGCAGAGAAGATGGAGATGAGATAAGGGAAATTTTGGGTATCAAAAATGCAGGATGGACTAATAATTACCTGGGATTCTTGACAGATCTAAAAATGTTTCCTTCAAGTAATTGGTGGACAAAGTGACTTCAAAAATAAAGCTGATCAAGGGAGAAATTTTTTCCAAAGCAGGAAGATAAACTCTTATAAAGTCAGTCCTCATTGCTACACCGAATCATGCAATGTCTTGGATTTCTAAATATTGAAGCTTTCAATCTATCAAAAGTAGCTTGGAGACTTGGAACTGAAGGGTGGTTCAGTGCTCTAAAGCAAAAATACTTACTTCATGCTCTTTTCTGGAATCTAATTTCTGTGGCAGTGCATCTTGGATTTGGAAGAGCCTCAAAGCTTCTAAACCTATTATTCAGAAAATGGAGGAGGATTGGTGTGGGCTCCAGGGTTGACTGTTTAATGGGAATGGTTGTGGTTCTGTTTCTACAGTTCCTCCTCCTCACCCCCCGACTTCATCTATTCATCAATAACCAACATATATATGTGTGTTTTTATCCTTTAGACATTCAATCAAGTGTATTAACCAAGTAGTTAAACACTTTAAAATCATGTAATTTTTAATGATTTATCAAGAAAACCTTTTCACCATAAAAAATAAAAATAAAATAAATGATACTTAAACATGGCATTTCAATCGTTGAACGAACTTCTGTCATAAAATGAAATAGGGAGAAATCAATATGAGTCCCTCTCTATTGCAACCCATTAGGCCCATCATTTCGGCTAAAATGCCGAAACTAAATATTATACTTATTTCAAGATTATCTTTTTTCTTACAGTTTTAACTTTTTTATTACTAGGTTAATTTTTGTCATGAAAATACGGAAACTAATTTACATTGAGAAATATGTATAATAGTTTTTCAATTTTAAAAATTAGAAAAAGAGTCGCCGTTGCTAAAATCATCATGTGATCAAACAATATATATTTAATGTTCATGATGAGCATATAAAAACCCTATTAACCCTGATTGTGAACATTTCACACAAACACACCCTTATTCTATGACAAATATGGAAAAGTATAAATGAATGGTATTTTAATGCTACTAAGTGGTAGACTTATGCCGCTACAACAAATGAGTGTATTATCACTAATACCCGATATTTTGTCACTAAAAAGTTTTAGTTACAAAAATATCGGTACGGTACCGCCACCTTGCACTACATCGCGACGTAACAGTTTTCTTTCGTTTAAGTGCCACAACTACTTTTATTTGTGACAGCAAAATTCTGTCACCTATATTGTACTTGTGACAATATTTACAGTCGCAAATACCTTCTTTGTCCTTTTGCTTTCCTTTTCAATTTTGATCTCAAATAATGCTATTTCCTAATTGTTATTTCGTTTTTAGACCTCAACTGTACTCTATCATCACAATTCCACATCCGCATAGATTTTTTTCTAACTAAAGAAACAATATCAGTTGCACATATTGAAGAATATATAGTATATAAGTAATTTCATTTCTACAACATAGAAACAATTTTATTCAAGTTTTAACATACATTTTCATATTATTCTTCCGAACAAAAATAACATAGAAATGAGCTAAAATATTTCCCAATGCTTCATGTTGCTTTATGTTCTAGCATCACCCACTTTTACCTGCAATAATAACAATAATAATAATAATTATAATAATAGAGCATAGAACTCTAATATTAGAACATGAACTAGAACAAAACTTCATTTGTTTCGAAGCATAAACTATAACATAATTCTAACTGTTTCAAAGCATTTATGTCATCTACAGTTTTTGTTCCCATTGTGTTTTATACAATAACATAATCTGAGCATAAACTTTTCTATCTCCATAACATCATCATCTCTATATTCCAAATGGATTGAAACGACAAAGATATCTATGCTAAAATAGATAATCAATAAATTTAAGGATTTAAAAAATAATTACATTTAATCACAATGTTTCCGATTCAGCAAAATATAGTCCTATCATTGAAGAAGCTTTAATACAGCACCGGGGGCCAATGTGAACATGCATCACTAGGATCCTAATATAGAGTTCTTTCATATATATAATTGCCCACTTGGATATATCTCAATGCAAGTATATATAGTAATATGCATTATTCGCTTGAAAAATTAATGAGCTGTGAAGAAACCTCTGGTTAATTCTTTACTTATGTCCAACATATATATTAATAGGGAAAAATAAATCTAATCTATCTTGACCTAACAATAGAGGCAACTAAGTATCGACTAGCCGCCAGATCTCTTCTACTTTCAAACGATGATATTTTCACTGGATAAGATGATGTGATTCAATAGGATAAGATAACCTTGGTACGATTTGAGAAAGTCAAAGGGTTAAATCATATCCCAACAAATTTGGCAACAAACGGATATCCTCTAATCTCGCAAATGAACTGAGGAAAAACGACTATAAGAAAGAGATCCTACCAGTCAATAAAGGTACGAAAAAAAATAATTATTAAATCCCTACCTTTCTTTTAGACCTCCGGTGACTGACTTGATCGTCGGATAGCTCTTGGCAGGCACCACACCGGTGCCGTCAAGCTTCATCGATCTTCTACTCTTTTCTTTGCAAGAAAACGGTGCCATATCGGACCGCGTGAATTTCTCCCCTAACAATTGGCACTGTCTGTGGGAACGACGATTCCCTTAAATCAATTACTCGATTGGGTATATGTACTTGCGGTCCAGTATGGTAGCTGGAACAGAAACATCGTTGTAGGGATCCAGTCAAAGAGAAAGGTCGGGTGAACACCCAGATATCCTGAATGACTAGGAACGACTTGCAGTGTTAGAACTACAGGTCCAAACTCTGAATCAGGGTATGGACCAGTTGATCCAACAAAATGCAGAGACCCTGCAACATCTTATCCCAACGGGACCACCACCTCAACAAGAATTGTCCGACCTATATCCTCCCAATCTGAATGATGGGGAACAACACGAGGAGGACCAAGAAAACAATCCTTCTCACAAGTTCGAAGCAGAACAAAACCAAGTCTAAAACCGACACAGAGAACCTCCTTCCTCGCCGCCACGGAATCCCCAGTCTCAAACAGGCACAACCTTCTGTGTTAAGGAAAGGACAGAGAAAGTTACCTATTTCGACCTACAGATCTAAGATCTCAAGGCGAAAATGGAAGATGTAATGCAGGCAATGAAAGGGAAAGGTCCTTATGACAACCCTGGTTTTTTAAGCCAGTGCATCCTGTGAGGAACTGAAGATTGACCTGATAACAGATCCGAATGCGGAAGTGAAAACAGAAAACAAGACTCTAAGAAGTCAAAATGACCTTCTATGAGGTCGTAGAACTCAATGAGAACTGATGCGGAAATAAAAGATCGAAAATATGACAAATAAGCCCTAGGGCAAAATGGTAATTTCTAAAAATATGAATTCGGATGCTACCGAGCACACCGCTGGAAAGACAACGAAAAACTAATCAATATGGACTCAAGAATCACATGATTCGGAGTTCGGACGAAAGAGAAATGGCATGACGAAGAAAAACGAGCACTTAAGGCTAAAAGAGTAAATTGGTAATTTTCCAGGAAGATCCGGTGCAACCGAGCACACCGTTGGAAAGACAGTGAAAAATTAGTCAAGTTCAATAAAAAGTTCACTCTATTAGGAGTCCGAATGAAGGAGAACGAGCGAAAACAAGAATCGAAGTCACGACGTCGAGACGAGAACCCCACGAGCATCCCACGAGCATCCTGACAAGCACCATGACATGCTAGCGGAAGAAAAGTTCCAGCCAAAACTAAGAGCCGAAACGAGGTCAAAAACGAATTTTTCTAGAAAAACACAAAGAAGAAACCCCCCCTAAAATCGAGTTTTCTACCCGACTTCATGAAAGGAAAAATTCCCAGAATGCCCCTAGATCAGAACAGGTCAAGAGGGCAAAAAAAAATGCTACAGTAGCTGTCCACATCTGAGATAAAAAACGGGCTATCAAACAATTTTTTCTTAAAAAACATGAAAAAGAAACCCCTCCCAAAATCAAATTTTCTACCCGGCCACATGGGAGAAAATGAAAAAAAATACACTATGAAATGGCCAAAATGCCCCTAGATCAGTAAGGGCTTAAAAACTTAAAAAATGCAACTTTGCACTAAATATGCATTTGACCCTAACTGCATTTGTAGATTGAAACGAATGTGCACGCAAGTGTAATAAATGATTCTAAGCGCGCGAGAATGGTCTGCGGCTCCCGAGAAGCCCCGACGCAAAATCCGATCCCCCCGACGGCCAAAAAAGATAAAAATGAATAAGAAATGGGAAATTAGAAAACTAAAATTAACAAATGATTTTAAATTACCGTTTGACCCTTGGCCACACTTCAAACATGATTAATGAGACCCTATAAAAGAATAAAAATGAAATTCCCACACCTGATGCAAACATGGTGAAGTAATGACTTGTCATTT